TATCATGCCTGAGACATGTGAGCGGGCGCGGCATCTTCACCCTTAACTCGTTTAGGGACATATTGAGGTCATTTTCCCCGGGTTTACACAACGTTGCGTGAGAAGGGAAGGGTATCTGGTGGATCCAATTGCCCTCTGTGAGGGCGGCAGTGCCTCCATGAATGTGGCCTTTGAGTGGCGAGAGGCCAGTAGACATGCAGACAGCCTGTACTTACTGTATGTGGGAAATGGGCCTGATGCGACTTCAAACAGCCACAATGATGTTATTATGGTACCCCCCCCCCCCCCTCCTCCTCCTCCTCCTCCTCCTCCTTGCCAACCAAAAGCCTGTTTCTGTCCGCCTGTTTCTTTTTTTCTGAGAAATTGTTGCTCGTGAGTCACAAAGAAGAAGTCCCCACTGACCTGCTGTTGACTGGGATATTCCTCATGGGAGAACCTGTGCACCGAATTGGTTATCAATCTTTTTTTTTGGAATGGCTGAAATTCAGGCATTGCCATTTCTTTGCCAAACTGCTGTTACAGCAAAAACAATTTTGTCTTTTTCATGTTTTTTTTTCTAGCCAAAGAATGTTCAGAACTCTGGCCATCACAAGCATGTGGTTTTCAGAGGAGGGAAACTGAGAAATTGTCTTTGTTTTTAAAGGCAAAACGAGCACTATTTGGAGGGGTTGAAATGGAGAAAAAAAAAAAAAAAAAGACATTTAAGATCTCTAACCATACACTGAGTCAGCTCTTTACCGGGAGGCAAACAAGCACTTCACGCCCCTTCATCCTGAGTTGCCCCCCCCTCTTCCAGATGCAATGAGACTTGTAAGCCAACATTTGACAGGTGACAGAGTGTAAGCGGTAGCAAAGTTCAGCGTCAGGTTCTTACAATACCATGCTCTGGGTAGTAAAAACTACCTTTGGGGGGAGAAAAAAAAGAAGAAGGCTCTCCTGCGCTCTCACAAGACACATATATTAAAGTTCAGATTTCAGAAAATAACACAGGTGGCAGCTCCGGACGACAAGTGCACGAGATTCCGCTTTGATTTTTTGGGCGGCTATATTTACACTAGCTGTCATATCAGCAGCTCTTCCCTGTCGGAATTTCTGCTGCGCCGGGCAAAAGCTTGACAGCCAGAAACTGGGTTACACCTCAGAATGACAATTTCATCACATTTAATTTGTCAAACAGCACAGCTGCATTCATAAAAAAAAACAACACTTACTGTCTTCTGAGTTTGAGAGGTGAAAGAAGCAAATCAAGTTTATGGCACTTTTGACCTCTTCCACATTACCACCTTTCCACTGGGTTGAAACCCCTAGCTGTACTTTCAAAGAATTAAACATAAAACTATTTTTAATACAGTTGACAGCTGAGCAACAACAGAAAAAGATGAAAACAAATATTCCTTTGTGAGGTTCCCATGAATCAATATTGAGTGAGGCGATTCGATGAAAAGACAAACAGGAGAAGTCAAACTTCATTACATAAACAGGCCCTCCTACTAATCTTCCAACGCTCAGACTAACCGCCATCGCACACTGCACGTGTTAATTTGAAGACACAACCGCTTACATCCGTTACCTCGCGCCCGGGAATCAAACGGGAACGGAAATTAAGGGGACCGGCGTCTGGAAAAACAAACAGGGGTTGACGCCACCTTCTATATCTGAGAGATGACAGTATGAAAACAAGGATCAGAGCCCCGGCGCTCCGTGTGTGCGCACATGTGATGCATATTTAAAACACTTGCAGTTTGATGATGAAAACAAATCCTGGCACATTGGAATTAGCCGAGAATTTCTCCGCTTCGCACGCAAACTTGGAGCAGGGGAGGGCCTCGGTGTGTTAGAGCGTGTGTGTGTGTGTTAGAGTGTGTGTGTGTGTGTGTGGGAGGCTGTACTTCTCGCTGTTGGGGAAGCCAGCAGCTGTTTAAATTCAACATAACAGCGCTGCCTCTGCAAAATGCCAATTTGAACGCCACCCTTGGGGACACAAACAGAGTTTGACAACTCTTTTCACCACCTCTGTAATTCTCACTTTTTTTTTTTCCGCCTCGCTCGTTTTTTTTCTCCCAGTCATCAAAAGCATTCGCCTTTTTAAAAACCTGTCGCGGAGCTCCCTTCTTTACCCGCGAGTGCTGCGACGGGTTCAGGCACCTGATATGACGATGTCTGACTTAATCCCCGTGCTCCCTGCCATGGACCATCTGTCGGGGGTCATGACACTGATGGGCTAGCTCAGAAGTGTGTGAGTCCGAAGGGTCCGGGATGCTACTCTGCTTATAACTCCATTTCTAATGAGGTCACAAGCACCGCAAAGTGGTCGTGATCCCCTCTTAAAACCGTGAAGACGCTTCGGTGTGGGGATTTGACGGGGACGTGTCAGAGGGGGTCAGGTGGGGTCGCCTCCGGGGGTCTGAGTTAAACGCGGGATAGCCGGGAGCGGTAGCAGCAAACGAGAGGCCCGAAAAGCCGGAGAGGGTTTGTTTTGGCTCAGATGTTAAGGGATCTGATCACCGAGGGGATTAATGTGTCAGCGGGAGTGCACGTTGAAAGCGGCTGCATTAGAATTTGAAAAAGAGGGCAGATGAAGTGCCCGGGACGGCCCATCAACGGCTCCCCGCCCGAACATTTAGAACTGACGTCAGTGGAGTGCGCAAAAGGGACAGCCTTTAAAAATGGACGTATGGGGGCTTTTCGTATGATTCAATTATGGCTTCAGGGAAAAAGTTTTCTTTTCTTTCTTTTTTTTTGCTCGATCGCATTAAGAAGAACCTTGAATCAGCCACTGGCAGCATGCGTGACAATGTTATTTCCAATATTTACGGTAAAAAGTGTGCAGATCTGTTAGTACACGCTAAACGTCACACGTCACTAATTTACCTAAAATGACTTTCAGTCAAAGAGTGACACAAACAAACAGGATGAGTAATCTCAAAACACGGGACTGGAACCCGGCTTAAAAAAAGAAACTGCAAGTGTCTCCTCCATTATTCAACATGTTTGGCCCTTTTTCTTCTTTTTTTTCCCTCATTTCTTTGGCTTGAACTGCAGTTTGAGCAGACTCCCAGTGGACCTTTTTTTGATGGGGAAAGTTAGTGAAGTGGGGGCTTTGGGATCAAATGCTCACAAACACACACACATACACACACGCCGGCACTATTAAAAAATGGGGGGAGGGGGGGGAGATATTGGCTAAGCACCCTGACATTTCTTCCAAGGAATTTTTATCTGAAAATCTGTGGTTGTTTCAAGCTTTTCCGGGGAATTAACTAGTCTCCACACATTCATAAATGAAGGAGGCACTTGTTTGAGTTTCTTGAGTTTCATCTTGCCAAAAAACCCCGCCACTGTGAGTGTTTCCGCGTGTAAAGTCCCATTTTTCTCCCGGGTTTGCTTCAAACGAGTGACGAAATAGCATTTCCGTCTGACCTATCGGGGGATGCGCACATCCCCCACGCAGACACGGGGAGGGGTTCACCCCCCCGAGTGGATTCCGGGGAGCATCGGGGCCTTGTTTTACCACGGAACACTTTTTACTACGCTGCCCTTTTTGCTGACTTACAACCGGTGCCCGGAGGCCCGGAGCACTGAGACTAGCACGAGTCACGCAACTGCTTCTCTGCCTCTCTCTTTCAGCCAGCCCCCCCGACTCCCAGCGGACACACACACACACACACACACAGATGTCACACACATCTATTTCCTGTGTACCTGTCTGCCCGGGTGAGACATTTCCCCCGTGCAGAGACGTTCCTCTTTAAGAATGACTGAGCGCTGTCAAATCAGAGAGGATCCCTCTGCCGCTACGCCCGCCAGATCTCTCTTTGAGATGTCTGGAGGGGGGAGGAGTGCATGCGTGCGCACAGGTCTGCCGTTTCCCTTTTCCCCCCTCACGCCGTAACCGTCTGCTCACATCTCTCCACCCTGAAAATATTTTGTCAGGCGCAGTCATTCGATCATAATTCGGCAGAGAGCGGGGGTTCACTCAGAGTTCAGATTGCTCCGGGTGTGCAGAGCGCCGCGCGGGCCCGCCAGCCAATCAAAACGCGCACAAAAACCTCTTTAAACACGTTCCCGTGCCCCGTTTAATTACTCTGATTGTTTCTTCGCTGCCGACGAGGATGCCTCAGACTTCGTTCAACTTGAATCACGACTCCACGTTACACTCGGAGACCGGGAATAAAGAATGCCCGCAGAGCTTCTCCAAATAAGCCTAACTTTATATGACATGCTCTGGGGAACTATTTTTACTTGGGCCAATTACACGCTGCTGTTTTGCCATATCAAACACTGACAAAAGGGGACCTCATCTGGTCCACAGTAGTTAGTGTATTGAGCTGTATCGGGTCAGATGCCACCTTTGGTTAGCGATGTTTCCAGCCGCATGGAAACATATCGATTTACATTAGGGGGAAACAGCAGCAGGGGCTGGGCCCGGCCCGATGATGCACGCCGAGGCGCGCTTCAAATAAGATAAACGGAGGCGACAGACAGCATAAACAGCCCCAATGCGCGACACACTGGAGCGACCAGCCTGCAGACACGGGCCTGATGAGATATACGACATGTGGTACGAGTGGGAGTTACGCCACACGAGTGGCTACACGATTGTTATCAGTAAATACGATCATCAAAGGCATATGCTTCAGATGCCTTGTCTTCATTCCACCACTCACTCATCCCCTCCGCTGCATGACTAGGGATCTTGACTCTGCTCATATGGATGGTTGACACTCCATAATTAGGTGTTTACAGGTCATACAGGTCAATTCCTACCAGCCCCTAGGCTATCATAGTGTAGATCTATACATGATATATACTCTGTGAGATGTTTCAGGGAGTCAGGGATTCCATTTTTTAGACACTGTGAAGCTAAAAGAATCTCCATTCACTCTGCTTGGTCATGAACAGATCCCAACACTTGGCGTTTTAGTGGTGTTTCCGATTAGTTTTAATGTGTAGCTTAAACCTTAAATCAATTCACCATCCAAATTGTTACAACTGTTTATTCAGCGCTCTGAAACCGAGAAAAACCCACAATTAAGACTCTCATAACTTTTGTCCCGGGATCAGGGAGCTGTTTCTGTTCTGAACCACCCACATGTCACAGTGAATAAATAAAATGGCTGCTCCCAGGCTTAATGGCTTATCAGGCGGGCTTTCAACATATGGCTTTGGGGAAAAGTAAATCTGTGAGCCACAGCGAGGGTTTCTGTGAGAACCAGCAAAGTCTTTTTGTTTGTTTGTTGTAAGCAGGGAATGAAAATAAATTCCCAATCAGAAATTATTAAAGCCAGTCAATACTGGGTGTGGCTGGAGTCGAGCACAGCAATAGTGCTTTTGTAAAAATAGAGCAAGTGTTTGCAATAAGAAACATGTCTGCTGCCAGTCTTACCATTCAAATTATGCTGATCGGCAGCATTTCACACACCCACTCAATGTCAAATAAACAAACGAGCAATAAAGGGCGGCGTGGAGGATTTCTGACCATAACAACATGAGCTTATAAAACATTTTACAGCCACAACTTGGACATGTCCGCTTGTTGGTGGTGTCACTGCATCGCATCCTAAACTTGTTTCTGTAATATCATTATCAGCATCATATCCGGGGGGGGGGGGCGTTTCGTCCCCCCCCCCCCCCCCCCCCCCCCCAGCTCCCCCCCCCCCCCTGCACAGGCAGAGCGCTGCATTAAGCGCGAGCGGTGACAGTAATCACGCGAGACAGCTTCCAACAATAGTGTTGGGCCAACAAAGGCTTCTGCTCTCTCTGCATGAGTCCTGGCTGTCTCTTCACACTCACTCAAACTCAAGCGCACACACACCACTCCACTGTTTGCACACAAACACACACCACCCACTGCTGCGTGGTCACCACTAGCTGTAGCTGTTAGCGTCTCATGGTGGGGAGGGGGGGGCGGTGGCACTGATTTGGGTAATTCACTTCTGGCCTTTGTGATCCCGAGGGGGCTCTCTCGGACCCCCCAGGCCCCCCCCCCGGGGCCTACGGAGCCCGACTCCACTCAAGCGAGCTCACAGTCTGTGGCACGAGAGGCCGGGCAGTGACAAAGCGAGTGACATGCGTTGATTCAAGCATCTAATGAGCGAGCTGCGTGCATCCCGAACGCACTCCGCAATCTTCCCATCTCATGGTTCTCAACACATACAAGGGATTAGCGCGGCCTGTCTGTTGCACTAGTTAGCAACTATTGTGCTGCTGTTTACCGCACAGGAGGGGGGCAAACCCGCCTGGGAGCGGGTGGGAGGGTTAGCCCACTTGCAACTGATGTCCAACATTAAAAAGAACAGTTGCATTTTCATTGACTAAGAGCTTGAACAAAATTTGGCAATGTTACTAGTAGCTGTATTTCTAGATGATCGTCTATAAATTCAGCTCCATGGTTGTAATTTACTAGAGGAACGCTCTTCAAAAAGGGAAGAAAAATCTGGGGTGGGCATCCACAGTATTATAGTTGAGATGGCTGTTATTTAGAAAGTTGACATTTAATTGGTCTTATCTTTTGGTTTAATTCTGTTTCTCTTACTTATATATTCCAAATACTAAAAAAAAAATCTGCCTCAGGGCCTCATTACTAGGTAGGTGTTAACTATAATGAGAATATTACAGAGGTCATCTGCAGATGCAAGTCTATTTTATTTATAAAATATGATTTTACAACATAATGCCTTTTTTTCCATAACTTTCAGATATTTAACTGTTCAATTTAGCTGTTGACTTCTTGTATTTGATGCATATTGGTCACTACTGTGGACAGCTATTTAAAATCCAATTTTTGTGTACATTTGGGTTTTTATGATATAAATGCACATAGGCCACTGAAATGCATCATGCAATAATAATGAAAAAAATTCCACAATAATACACTTTTTTTAAAGAGGAGCTAGGATTGACTAAAATAAATCAAGGGGGAGAGAGAAAAGGGATAATATAGTAGTGAATATCAGAATAGGGTGAGAGTTGCATGCAAAGTTCTGTGTTTGTGCATTTTTTGTTAACAAATGCCCAATTATGTTCACAGTGTAATATACAGTAGTGAATTAGTAAGAAATCTTAAAACATATGCTTTTCGCTTGAGTGGATATCTGGAAATATCCTTCAATAAACACGTTTTTTATCCCCAGAAAAATTAGCAATTAATTAATTCACATATATATGTGCCTTGAGAAAATCTAATTTTCAAGTATTCGTCATAAGAGTCAACTGAGGTTTCTGTATACCAAAAAAAAAGAACAGGAATGAAAAGATCCTAAGCTGTGGTTTTAGGTTTGTCATAACAATGATTGTATATTAACATTTACACTGGAAATGGATGGACGGCCATACGTCTACCTTTGTATACAGAACTGGTTGCACAGAATAACAGACATCGCATGTGGAGGGAAGAGGAAGGAGAAAAGCCTTAGTAGTGGCATTTAGGTCTGATCACGCACTCTTCATGAAGCACATGGAGATGAGAGGTGATTTTACTCTGCAGAGGTCAGGGAAACACAGGGGTAGAACCCCATGAGCTGGAAAAAGGAGGAGGGGCGGTACATAAATGTAAGACACAATAAAAGAAAGAGGGCTTAAGAAATAATAGATGGCATTAATGTTGAAAACGGTAACAGAAAAATAAGGATGGGATGAATGTATACCCTCAGATAAAGAGGGAATTGTGCACATAAGTGTATTTTTTTACTTTGACAGAACACATTACTTGTAATCGATGTAATATGCGTCACCATATTAATTTGGACGTGGTGAGGTATTGATCCAAAACCCGATGAGAAGCTTTTAATTTTGATAATGTAAAAAAAGCCTGGAGGGGAGGGGAGCGAGAATGTGACCTCCCGGTTTTAAAGACACCTTTGTCCGCTTTCGGAGAAGCATCTCATCTTTTACTTGTCATTCCATTACTCAAATTCTCCCAAGATGCTACAGATTCTAAGAGCTTGAGGTGAACAGGAGAGGTCTTGTCACCAACACCAACACAACAGTGGGCCGAGTGTTTGGATCCCTCCTCAGGCTTACTGTGACATGTGATATTTAACTGATCTGAGCAGATAGCATACTTGCCTCTTTTGGATTCTTTCGGATGAGTCGTGCCGACCGACTTAAGCCTTCCGTTTCCCTACACCACTAAACCGTCATGCAGAAATCAGGTTTTACCTTTTATTGGATTCGAAGTTTGTCAGGTTGGTGCTGACTGTTATACTAATTCCAAGTGATTCTTATCTGCTTGACCCTCTAACACTGTAATTGGATCAAACAGCAGACACAAATGAAAAGGTCAAAGGATCTTGCCATCGGTGGCCTTAAGAGTTCCCTCTCTGGGGAAGAAAATGAGCGAGGGACAGGAGTTACAAACGGGTTAATGAGCTGTGAAGCTTCATAGTCAGTGTTCAGTCATAACCTGAGAGCATATGATGCCAGTAGCTTAGAACTAGCTGAATGGATTCATTGATACAAGAAGATTTATACTGATTCTGAATCATTTTATGGCCATGCTGGCTGCTCTGGGAGATGATTCCTAAGGAACTACATAGTAGTGCAAGCATGCTGTGGTTAGCTGAGGTTAGCTTGACAGCCTGATAACATTGCATTTATTCAACAGCCTAGCCTCTTCAACACTTAGTTTTGGTAATATTTTAATACGTGACTCTGTTACCTTACATATTTCCATGTATATGTTTAAGTTGATGTATTTTTGGTACTAATACGAGGTAATCTTGGGTACAAGCCAAAGGAAGCAGACTAGTTCGGCCACAATGCACTTTAAAATAAAAAGTATTGATGAAAAAATAACAAACTTAAACTTTGGGAGACCTTTCTATTGCTTAACTGATGCCCTACATTTAGACTCTTGCTGATGAGTTGGCCTCAACCTGACCATCGTGTCTGTGTATTAGGGAAGGAAAAAGTGTGGGGTCACTGAGAGTTTAGCAAACACAAAAGTCTGTCTGTGATCTGACCCAATACATATTTTTACCCCCCTAGCAAAAGAGATCCCATTCAGAAACAGCTGTCACGCTGTAGCACTTCCCACTTAAGGGAATCAAATGGTCTGCGATTGTGTTGACTCAATTTGACACAGACTCCACATGAAAGAAAACACCTAAGCCTCAGTGACGGGCGAAGCCCACCTCCATGAAATTCTCTCTAAATTAGAGGTTGATAAAATAAGGATCTAAATGGGTTATTTTATCCTGTGCCGTCCTTCCTCTATTGGCCGGTTAGTTACAAAACTGTCTCCTGTCTGCTTGCTGACGTCACAGATTGTCTTGCCTGGCGTGAGTCTGTGGGCTTCTCTCTTCCTCTTTTATTATAGCTCAGCCAGCAGTAAAAAGAGTCCGGAAACACACATATTGAAACTGGTCAGCTCGCTCCAGGGTATGAAAATAATTTTACCAGCAGGGTGGCCATTAGGCAACCAAATTTGCACAGACAGGCACGACGGCAACGAGGTCCTGAGGAAGGGCGGGGTTTTGACTGAGCCCTTCAGGATTACCTGAAGATTCTACAAGCATTGTGTGTTTAACTAAATGCACATTGCATGCACATGCCTTTAGATTTTGTTTTTTTGTTTTGTTTTGGGCTCGACACTGAGGGGGTTTCGTCACTGCAATTTTCCAATGATGAATTTCAGGGCAGATTAGTGAAGTCATCCGGACGGTTTTCAGGTTGTTAATGACTCCTAAAGATCAGTGTGTGAGTAAGTAAGTCTGAAAAATGGAGAAAAGCCAAAACAGATAAGAGCTCTCTGCTTGGTCCTGACTAGCATTCTGAAATTCTCTTTGAAACAGGGTCCCGTTTGTGCGGCATTTAATGAACAAAGTCCTAACAGGGGGTAAATAAACAGTAACCCGGACTATATTTTGCCGTAACCTGAGCTGTTTCGATGAAAAGTAATAATCAGCATCAGCAAAAACTCAAACTTGGAGTGATTCCAAAATGCATCTGAAAGAAGTTCTAAATGTAATACAAACTTACGAACTTTTTAAGTGGAGGACGTAAACTTATATTTTGTAAACCTTTGCAGTGATGTGATATTTTACGGAAGCAAAACCCCTTTCCCCCCAATGTCAACTAGACATAAATGACAGATATGGTTTGGCTGAGAAAAGCGCCCAAAAATGATCATAGACAGGAAAGGAATGCGCCTCAGTTTCTGCTCCATTTAACCGCTGATGTCTCAGACAAAGTATGATTGTGGCCTAACACAAAGATAAAGAGATAAACAAACACTAAAAGCCAAATGTTCTGGCAGAAATCAGGCAATAATTCAGACGATTGATGTCCCATCTGAAAACCTCCCATGCAGCGTACATCAGCAGTCTAAAGTTACTTTTCAAGGACTGTGCATGTAGGGATTTTTATGAGCCGATATGTTAAGCTCGAGCACTGAAACTTGGTGTTGGCTTCGCTATTTCCCCTCGATTTTGAAAATGAAACCCAGCCCTCACCTGTTATTTTTGGTTTCTAGTTTTGACTGTAAATTCCCTCAATTTCCGATTACAGAAAAACAGCGACGATAGCGAGTGAGACAAGTGAGAAAATAAGAGTGTTTATTAATCAGTGCCACTCCTGGGGGAGGAACGGGGGGAGGGGGGGGGGGGAAAGAGAGACTGATCCCAGACTCAAAGGTCAGACTGTGAGATATCGTCAGAATTAGCTTGCGCCGTCGATGCCTTGTGCTCTAACAAGATTAGCCTCCCTTCTGTTGGTAGCTCAGTCATTGGGGGTGGTCCGGTGCCTTGCCCATGGGCAAATCAACAGTAGCTCTCCCCCCAGGGGGGGGCGAGCGCCAGCTGAAACAGCTCCAGCCGTCGTGAAGTCTGCGTTCGAGATCGAAAAAAAAAAAAGGTTGTGCTTCATCAGAGGCTCCCTGAGAGCGAAGTGAAGCGTGGCTGCAACAGACAACTGTCAACCGCAGGCTGCACTCCAACGCTCAGGCCCGACCACATTAGAAGCACACGGCGGCCACAAAAAAGCAGCGCGACGGGGGGCCCTGCACTTTTGCGCCAGGCCTGCCGTGCCAACGGCAAATTTCGACGCATTAGCGTGAATTACATCAAGCGATCTGGAGCCTGCAACCGAGTATTTCATTAGCCTTATCTATCAGACAGCAGGCCGCGCATTAGGGAAGGGGGGATCTGTCCTTTATTATGCGGTCTCCAGGTTTCTCAACCTTAAACTTCTCATCTGATCCTTATCTGCGCGCCGTGCTGACATCCAGTCCTGTTAGAGCCTGTTGGAATTCATTTCTGCACACAAGAACAGAGGATAAGCAAGGATAAAGGAGGAAAGAAAAAGAGAGGTATATAACTGAAAGGCATCATCCGGCTGATTTTTTTGTTTGTTTTTTTCAAAATATACCAAGATTGCTTTTATGTCAGTGACGCACATAAAATAATCCCCCCTCCGTCCCCCGTCACCAACTCCAGAAAAATGAGTCAAACTAGGATTTGTTCCCTCTAAGATTTACCTTTAATTGTGCAGTCTCTAAATGTGTGGCAGCTGCCTCATTAAAATGTGGATACAAAGCATATCCGTCTTTCAGAGGACGAGATAAAAGCTGTGAAACACAATCACACAATGTAGGCCATAAGAACGCGCACACACACACACACACACACACCGCCGGAGAAGAAATACACAGCCGACCGGAGCAGAGAGACAAACAAGGAGGGATAGTTAATCTTGATGGTAAATATTTAACAAGCTCAGCAATTACAAGGAGGGCAGAGACCTAACATAGCAGAGGAGGGAATTACAGCCTGCCGACTGTCAAAACACACACACACCTGATTAGGCATCTGAGGGAAATGTGGAAAAAGTAGACATTACACAGCCCGGAGGCAGGAAGATTATTTTTCCTTCTTTCTTTTTGTATTTTTTATTTAATAGATATCTTTGAGCGTGAGGTCTGGGAGGCCTATATCTACAGACTCAGGAGACTTTTCTATAGCCACAGAATACACAATATACCCCCCATCTCGTTCCACTTTAAGGAAATGAGGCCAAAACACGTGTTTAATTTAAGATCAAACAATAAATCAGATATTCAGGCTTAAAATCTTTAACCACAAAGTTTGGCAGAGAAATCTTAGAGTGTTTTTTAAGATATATCTACTGTATATATGCAACAATAGATTAGAAAGGAAATGTTTGCATGATGACATTTTTTAAAAATCATTCTGATTAACTCAGATAAACTGGAACACCAAAGCTTCACCTTTTAACCATCATTTGTTGTTTTATGTCCAAAGGTTTTGTTATTCATTCTATAATTATTCATTCTATTTGTACATCATTACATGTTAGTAACTTGGGAAGTTTATCCTGTCATAAGCCAGATGCATCTATCTGTTGATGGGTTTTGCTTACACATAAACACAAACGCATCCGCACACAGCCTGAGGGGTATATTTTGCATGGGTACACAGTGTTCAATGTGCTCTACTTTTGAGGAATCACGCAACAGGGACAAGAATCTGAATGTTTTGGAACATCCAGAAACACCTGTTTCAGCATTTCTATTTTTCCCCTGGCTTCTTTAACACTTAAACACACCCTGCAGGGAGAAAAAAACTATATTCAAATGAACAAATCTAAGTTTTATTTTCAGACAACCAAGAAAGAAATGAGTCAATCCTAACTAAGAAGTGTGATCACACCTGTTTCAGTCTGCAACTTCACACAGGCCACCTGGTGGACAAAATTGGAAACTGCATCCAAAAGGGCCCTCAGATTTCCTTTTTGTAACTCTTCTAAGGGCCATCTGAAACTTAAAGCTGCAGGATTCAAGGTTAACTCTCGTGTTTTCCAGCTATTCTGACTGTTATTCAAAACCACAAGAAGGACGTGGATGTGTACCTGTTGCTCTTTGCAGACTTGTCTCGATAAAGACAGGCCAGAGACTCCAGATGTGTGCACCCTGCAATCCTCCCCATGTTTAAGTCTAATTAATCTCATTTGTAGAGCATAAACAGACAGATAAGCCGGTAACGACGCCCACCGGAGCTGCCACAGCTCTGAGCCAAAGACAAACGCGGTCACGCATCAGAAGGGGAACCTGAAAATGTTCCAACTCCAACAATATTCTTCACTTTTCATCCCACCCCAGCCCGTTCTCCCTGGCACTCCCAATCCCCAGCATCACCCGAAGCAGCCGCCGTGGTCTTTATCTCGTCAAAGGCACCTCTGATGACTCTGATCACCACCTGTACTCCAGGTTTGCGTGCCGGCTAAGCTAAGGGAGGAGGACTCAGCTGACATATAGGGCGGCGAGGGGCGTTTCCGCGTGCACAACTTGCACGGCGCCAGCCAATGGGATGCCACGCCAAAAAAGTAGGGCAGCGGATGGTGGAGATTAAGGGTACTGCTGGGGATCAGAGGGGAAGGTGAAAGGGGAGAGCCACATGTGCAAAAGAGGAGAGGAGGCCCGCGAGCAGCCCACGAGTCCTCGCTGGACTCGTTCAGAAAAGCGTCTCCCAGTGAGAGCTGCCTCTCAGCCCCCAGGACCAGGAAGGCAGTGAACCTCACAGGACCTCTGCTACTTCCTCTCCACTGCAATCCCCCCCCCCCTCGTCCTCCTCATGCTTTATCACATGAATTATCCCTTGCAAAACAGAGCGAAAACACGCTCATTCTTCTGTTTTTTTCTTCGTTTTTTTCTCTTTTTTTCAATGAAAAAAAAAAAAAAAAAGTCTCTCTTGTTTGCAGACCTCTCAATCCAGCTGTGCATGTGGCCTGTACAGCAGCTGCCGAGGCCACTGGCGACAAAATACATTCTTAAGAGGCGCATGAATATTTGAGGAGAATTGTGGGGCAACGTGAGGAAAGGAGGCGTTCAGCGGAAGGCCAGAAAGTGGGAAAGGAAGACTCAATTTAGACTGCCTTTCATTAATATGAGACCAAAAATCAGTAAATAACGCTGGTGAATTTGGGAGGGAAAAACAGGCAAGGAACTCCTTTATCAACAAACCATCTCTACTAGCATAATGAAGCTATCTGATATCTGTTTCCTCTGAAAAAAGTCAGAAAAAGAAAGATCTAAGTGTTTAATCATTCAGCCTTAAGTCAGTTTTACTCATGAGGTGTTAATGCTGGAGCAGTATAAGAAAAAAAATATCTGTAGTTTTTTCACTTCCACTCAGAAGGTTCTTTGGACTACAAATGCTACCATGACAACACAGAAAAATCAACCATTTCTAAAAGTTTCTGTAACCCAGTGAACTACATGTTCTCCTCTGCTCTCAGCATGGCTGGACAGCACTGACTTTGTCACAAAATTAAAGCTCTTCATGGCTCAGCAGCCTCCCGCAAACTCAGGGACATGCACATGTCTGCACACACACACACACACACACACACACACGTACAAAGGAATCCAAACAACTATAAGTGGGACTTTTGTTTTTACCTCCTTTACCTTGGAAGAAACTCTTGACGCGGAGGTAGGAAACGGCGAGGCGCAGCACCGACAGCTTGTCCAGTTTGGAGATGACGTCCGGGGGGAAGGGCAGCAGGCTGGCCAGCCGGTCCAGTTCGGCGTTCAGCCTGTCCCGATGCCGCTTGGATGGGTTGGTTTTCTCGTTGGCAGAGGACGGCTTCCTGATGACGGCATGGTTACAGGGCAGAGACGTGAGGAGACGTTAGTGTATCAGAGCATGTGGACGCACATGTGACAGTCCTATATCATTAAAAAAAACAATAGCTTTAAACCTTCAGAGAGAATAACTTAAAAATGTAAGCTATGGGTAACAAGAAGATAAACAAGATCATATTTAATATCACTTAAAATGCAAACTTTGGTCAGATTTCTGAGATTTCATTCCTAATACATGAGACAGGGCTATCAATAAGCTCACAAAGTTAATGATAACATTAATAATCAGTTATAAACACCTTTATTTGGAAGATATGTAAGAGGAGCAACATGTGGCTCAGGAGACTTTTTGATATATATGATATAAAACTATAAGACAAAAAGTTTTATTAGAACTAGTGATTTTCAGAAAAGGTTCAGAATTGCGTAGTGGTCAATTGGGACTCCTTGCTTTGTCTTTTTCCTTTTAAATCTGGTATATGTACTACCAAAGCAGAGACACATGACCAAATAAGCCACACAAGTCCACAAGCCAGGCTTTCTTTTATCCGTATTTCTATTTGGCCGGCCTTCTAATACAAACCATGCCTTGAACTAACTCCTGTGTGCTCCAAAAGGTCTCCGAAACATCTTTTTTTTTTGTCTGGAGTTTTTATTGCCTGATTTCAATCTCAGACATTAAAGAAAAAAACTGTTGCTTTGACCCTCCCTCCTCCATCTCCTTTTAGATTTAGAATATGAGATGCGTCAGGTCCTTCCCCCGTACGGCAGGGATCGTAAAGCACTCCCTGAACTCAGAGTTGTTTTTGCCTTCTAGTATGGTGCACCACAACTTTACCAGCTGAGCAAAACATGAGCCACATATGTTACGGTCACAGCTGTGGGGCCCGAAATTCCTTAGAGATAATTTCTGTGATGAACATCTAACCTATAGCCCTACTTTACATTTTTTGCCACAGGAAAATAAATAAATAAATAAATAATAATAGTAATTATATATATATATATATATATATATATATATATTTTTTTATTATTATTATTTTATTAATTTTTTATTTTTATTTTAAGTGAACAACAATGTGGCCATTAAGCTAAAGTACCCTTGAATGCATAAGTGTGAGGAACTCAAAAAGCCAGCGAAGCATCACAGTTTCAACACGATCCTTAATATTAATACAACGGAAAGCCCAAAAAAAAAGTTTAGTTCCATAAGTTGCTGGGTAAGAGCTCTATTTCATGCCAGACTTGGCTGCGGTTTGATGTGGCAAAGATTTCCTCTCCGATCAGCAGCAAAGGCAGCGCAAATCATGAAAACTTTATAAATGCCACAGGCCTTGTTAAATTACCACTTCCCTCTTCAGTATCTTATATAACCTCCTAGTCACCATTCATTACATCAGCTGAGATTATATATACAGTATATAAATATATATATATATATAATAATTCTCATCAAAAAGCCAGGGGCACTTCAAACAGCAGGGGAAAAATTACATAATGAGACCCCACAACGGCTTGAATAAGACATGTGCAAGCAGAGTTGAATCAGAGATCCCCTACTTAAATTTGACTGATGATAAGTAAAGACAAAGAAATCTGCATAAAAACTAAGTCCAGCCATCACTCCCTCACCCTTCTGACTTCCTGGCTTTTTAAAGTATAATAATGAAGACAATTACAACATTAAAATAGAGTGCAATAACAAGTCCAATGAACATTTACTGTGGATGGAACAGGGAGCAAATCTGTGCTGTTTCATAAAAAATATAAAAAGAATCTCATATTTTCTTGACTTTTATGCTCATGCCGCAAAAACTGCGATCTTTTTGAGGAGTTAACACACAAATATACATGTGTGTGTGTATATAGAGAGGATTGTGTGGGTGTGTGTGTGTGTGTGTGTAGTCTAAATGTAAAAAAAATCAAAAATGGCAGGACTGGACGGGGAGAGCGGCGCTCCTTAACTGTTTCTGGATGGGCTTCCTGCGCTTCCTGCCCGCGTACATGCAGTCTCCCGGGGGGATCATGGTCCGGCGCTCCGGGGAGATGACAGGTGCGCTGCGGACAGAAACGGCCCGCGTTAGCGGGGGAAAACACAACTTTTATTCCCTTCTACAAACAGAAAAAACAACCAAAAAGAGAAAGAAAAAAAAGTCTGTCATAAAGTCACACGTCAGGGCTGGTTATGATATCACCAAAGGTCACTCATCGGGGTCAAATATGAAGCATTCCGAGAATTAGGAAGGCTAAAGCTACTAAATTGGACTAAAAATAATCTTTAAAAAATCTTTTTAATATATTTAATTGTTGCATTAGCCACTATGTGTGAGCAATTGAGCCTTTCGGGTAATAAATGCTTCGAATGGAAGTATTTGAGAGGGTTAGCCGGACTTCTTTAGAATAAACGATAAAATAATGTATTGCACGCATACGTTCAAATCTTAAATGAATAAGAGAAATAAAAAAGACCAACGTAGAGTACCTGCAGCCTTCTGGTAATTCCAGTGTATTGTTGGCTGTTGGGTCACTTTAACTGGAGGAAAGAGATGCGTCTCCCACCGACTCCTGCGATAGATCCAAGGTAAATAAAAAGCAATCGGAAAGGTCCTGCGCGAGCTCCGAGCTGATGTTTTCATCTGCTCTGCACTGCTCGGGGCAGATGTTGTTGGCTGATTCTTTATACCCAATTGAGTCGCCTTCACTTCCTCGCGTTTCAGGTGGCGGATTCCTCTGAATGACATGTCGAGCTCTTCGCACGCAACTCTGCCTCACAAACACAGCGCACACTCACACACACACACTCAAACACACACACACACACACTCAAACACACACACAGTCACACACACGCATACTCGCGCACACATGCAAGAGAGGCTTATGTAGCTTTCAAGTGTCGTCCGTATTTTCGACAACATTATTTAATTTTACGCAACATCCTTGAGTGAATTGGGGCTCTCTGTCGTATTTGAGAGACATTTACCTACACCGAGACTTCCGTTACCGACGAATTTTAACTATTTTCGAAGACGTGTTTTCTTTAAGGATGATATATATTTTTGTTTGTTTTGATTTGATTTCTACGAGTGCGTATTTCCAAGCTTCTGTCAGTTATCGCAAACCAGCTGGAACACTTAAACCTTTATATTTTAAACCTTCTTAGCGTAGCTACAACCAACACCGAGACCGGCGCGTTTATTTGTTTGAAACCACTTGAAAGTTTTAGGTCGTTGAGTATTTTCCGAGCGGTCCCTGAAAGCGGCATTCCGAACGGCTTGAGAGTTCAGTCGCGCGAAGCGAAACACACACTTCTGAAGCGCGAGGGGAGGGCACGAGCCAGACGTTCCGATCGTCCGCCCGGCGGTCGGTCGGTCCACTCGAACCGGGGGGACAGTCAGGGGCCCTCCTCTCCTCAAAATACGCCTCTAATGTTGTGCTCGAATGCGAAAGTTCGTTGGACCGAAGGGAAGTCGTTTAAAGAATGGACGTAGCCTTAAAAAAAAAAAAAAAAAAATCCGAAGGGCTCAGTTTGGGCCGACTTTGCGGCTGCGTGAAGCTCAAAAGCAAATCCTTGTTTACATCGGAAATCGTATCATTTCGGATTCAAAACAAAGGCTTTGCGATGCTGAGGGTGTGTTCCTCTTTAAAGCCTCTCGAGCCACGCAGCATCCCGTCAGCAGAAAGATGGAGGAGCCCAAAGATTTCCCGAATAGCTGCGACTGTTTTCTGTTTAGAATCAGGTCTCCGGAAAAGGTTTGGGAAGGCGGTATAACCTAACGGACCAATGCATCCACTCCGTTTCCGTATTTTCCGTTTAAATCGTAATAGTTGTAACATTTCTTTTGAAAAGTAACATAATTAAAAAGTGGCACACAGCGAAAGTGGCTGTTAACGCCATGGATGGGCGGAGGGTGTTTGTATTTGAAGTTTTTTTTTTTTGTTATGCAGTCGAGGTTTTTTAATAAAATGTTATTTTATTTAAAATGCTTTTTATTGTTTGGATGAAATGAAAAAAATAAAATTAAAAATAAAGCCATACTCGCACCGTTTTCACAGGTAAGCTGTATCACTTTAAAAGCTGGCGTGCTCTTCTGCCACCTAGTGGTCACATCTGCACACTACAAGTTTACCGAGTTTAGTTTTGTAAGTTCACACACGAAGTCCACCGACACCCAAACACTTTTTTTTACACCAAAACCTGGAAAACTATCGTCTCTCTTTGCTTTTCACTGCACCTGTTTATATCCTATTTATGTTATAAATGGGAAAAAAGTTACATATAAACTTCCAGCTTATTATTTTGATTGTGAAAAAGAGACACGGTATCAAGATTTCATCATGAATGGATCGATTTACTAATCGTAGTATCAGAGGCCAGTGCTGTTTCTAAGGAGCTCTAAACAGTGGTTGTCTAACTTCAACTCTAATCTGTTACTTAAGACAACTGAGAGCCAGTAGGCAGACGTCTTCAGGAATAGAACTTAGGCATCCGGTGTGGGAACTAGGATCACAACAATGGCCTTGCACCGAGGCTAATGTGCCAAAGACAGCTGATACATTTGTTATTCCGGCTCATTTTCCCGCCCCTCTGTCTGCTCCGACACTGGAAGCGTGAGCGCCCCGACACGGTGGAGCGCGCGTGGCCGCCTCACCAGAGGGAGATGTTTTATTTGTTGTGACAGGTGGAGTTGCAGATCTGCCGAGGTCTCGTTAAGACTGTCAGCGTCTGCCATTAAAGCTACAGGGAGCTTTGGGATCCACGCAAATTCACCAGCAACATTATCCCGGCCGCCTTCCAGATTAGCCCGGGCTTAAAGCTCTTTTAACCCCGTTGGAGTCGGCCTTCTCACGCAACGGTGCGCGCAGTCCGCGTGCATGTTCCTGCACATGGGTTTCAGAACACACACCCACAAAGGGGGCCCATCCAAAGCCTTCATTGATTAAGACGTCTTCCATTAGCACCACGCTGGGATTTCAAGAGACACAAAGAAGGTGACGTGACAAGCTGGATTGTAATTGACATTCATAATTAATGGGATAGTCAATACACACACACACACACACACACACACACACACACACACTGAATCTCACTCTTGTTTAAAGCCAGCTCTTTTCCATTAAGTGGCACACCGCTGAATACTTGGTGAGGGGAAATAAAAGCAAGCCCAGACTCGAAACATACGTGGCCCACAGCATCGACTCGAAATGTCACTGGATTTTTACGGCGTTCCCAAAAGTCCTTCCTCGGTTTCGGAGGAGAAAGCAGTAGCTGCTGCCAATCATTCTCGCCGTGGCTACAAGGTCATTTTCAAAACCATTTCGAGACTATCGTGCTAAACTTAGAACGGCTAGTCGCAAGTTGGAAGACATTCCAGTTAGCTGTCAATCTTCCCAGGAATGGACCAACCACAAAGAATATCACAATATCCCAGCAAGTAAAACTTTAAAAAAATCATTTATTTAAAAAACCCAAAGGTTACAACCCCTGACTACGAAACCCAGTTAATTAGTTAAATATTAAAAGGTATTATTACATAATACATATTTAAAAACTTGTGAGTCACTGACCCCACTTGAAAGGTCACATTTCAACAAGTAGCAACGGCCTTTAGAGGCAGGAGACTTTCTGAGTTGTCAGGTTTTAATGCGGTACGCCACATCTGGTGGAAATCAAACAACATATCCCCATCCATCACGTTAATGGTGAGGCACAAAGGTGGACATGTCATAACTTCTCCATTTAAAAGCGAGCGGCAAACTGTGAGTACAGCCCTGAAGTGTTGGTACAGGTCAAATTAGAGCTCTGAAATCTGAATATCTAATGAGACCTAAACAACACATGAGGCTACAACGAAGATAAGCTGAACAGGAAAGAGGCCATGTCAGAAAAACTACCGAAAGAAAAACGAAAAAAATTTCCACTTTGGACAAACTTTAATGTGTCCCCCGGCTGCTGAGCTGTTTGGGAATCGGCTCCATTTTTTGGTGATGGAATTCGAGCCGTATGGAGAAGGATAGACACCATACGGTGAAAGTTGTTTATGGTTCCATCATGCTCAAATGGGGGCACTGGATTTATCAATGGAATAGATCAATAGGCTCAAGCTGCCCTTCCAGGAGTGAACAGTATGGATAGTGGATGGATGTATAAATCAGATCCCTCAGCTAACAGGAAACATTAAAAAAAGTCAAAAGACTTTTACAACCTCCTGAGACATGAGCTTTTATGTGGTGTGCATTTCTGCTTTGTTCCAGATCTCTGGATCAGTAGGAGCTAGTAAATTTAACAAATAGACTTTGTCCTGGTACAAGTGTTTTTTTGTAGGCTCAATGGGTTTATCTTTAAATTGAAAATGTTTGTTTAAATTTGATTTCTTTTTTAATATTTTATCTAATTAAATGATTTTGCAGTTTGGTTCTGACGGTCCAAATGACTTATCTACAAAATTGTATTTACACAAGAAGAACATGATTGGCTGAAAATGTTTAAAACCATTTTCCTTTACATTTCAAACATGTTTAACTGTCAGAAAGGCGTTTCGGTCACAGAGTCCATGGTGTGAACTGATAAAACCGTCTCAGCCGTACAAAAAACGCTGCCCTGTTAGGGCCATGCACCCCCGCCTCTGTTTAAAGTTTTCCAGCTTAAAGTAGATGGCTTCCTTTGCTCACCACTAAAACACATCTGTCTTCTCTGTCCAGAATGTGTACATTACCGTTCTCCCTTATCTCGGAGATGGAGGCGGACGGCTGGCTCCTGTCTGACCCGTGAGTGCGCCTGTGGAGCCGTTGTTTGGTCTCTTCTACACAATCTTCACTGCACAGCACCTCACATGCAACGCTGCTCAGTGGTGGGGAGGGAAGTCTCTCTCTGTTTGAGTTCTTTGGTTTGAATTGCACAGTAAAGTCATGTCCGGGGTGGTGGTCAGCACCATCACAGCCAGAGGGTTCTGGGTCCGAGTCCCCGAGGGAACCAGGACCAGAGGGTTCTGGGTTTGAGTCCCCGGGGGAACCAGGACCAGAG